CTTACCTGACTACTGTTTGATTTGAAATTTGAGACATGATTGCATTACTGGATGCATGTTTATTTATTTATGTGATTATATTTGATTTAATAATAGAGACTAAAGGAAAACAGGAAAGGGGTGTGATCAAATAAACAGATAGAATGACAGCCTTACTAGATATCTTGGGAAATGGTGGACGAACCGAGTAAAAATACATAAAGTACAAAGAGCCTCCTCCATTGCATTTAGATTAAATATATACATATAGTGTAGTATAGATATACAAAACTATATAATGCTTGTTTACAACCATCCATGCGCAAATAATTATATTAATAGAAAAATATGCACCATGTACATATCCATATCACATCATCATGCATGTTAAAAAAAAACTTGTTGTATAATATTTTGCCTTTCTTATTGATTTTTAATCATTTATTTTATCTTTTGACGTAAGCGCAATTTATAGTATATTTATTTAAGATTTTGTTTTGATGTTGCATGAATACGAAAAACATATTCCAAGAATGGCAACCATATATATAATTATTATTATTTTCTTTTTTCAAAATAAAAATTGATATATTTTGTTGATTATATTAATCAAGTAAATATTAATTATAATACAAGTGGTAAAGAGCCAGAACTTAAAATGAAATAAAGTCATAAATTAAATGTGGAAGAGAAATAATAAAGTTAAGAGTTTACATTTCTTATACAATAATTTAAAATACCCAATAAGATTATGAGAATGTCATTTCTAAAAGAACAAACGAAAATTAAAGAAATAAAAAAAAAGACAATATACTGAATATTTTAGAATGACCTTTACTAATTTTTGAAGGGAGTACAGGTGGTGAGCTATTCACAACCCTCTTGTTGATCAGGATATGAGTCTTGGTCTTTTTGATTTGAAATAGTTAATGAAATGGTAAGCTACACTACCCTAGTAAAAATATCACATTATTCACCAACACAGAAACTGAATGTTGGTAAAAATCATAAAAACAACAAATGAAACTCTTGATTTAAGTAAATTTATTTATTATAAAGAAAACCATTTATTACATATATTTACCGTTGTGAGATTTTTAAAATTGATTTATAGAGACATGACTCAAATAATATTTCAATCTCATATTCAAGTGAGTAAAAACAATAATTTTCTCTTTTTATTTGTCTACTGGTATCCCTGGGGATCCATAGAGATGTCTCACCACCTGTGAATCAATATCCAACATTGTCAACTAACAGGTCATCCTCATAGCCCGTCCGATATGAGTGTCAAAATACTATCCTTCAATACCCCGTCTGGTATGATGGTGAATCGGGTCGCCCCCATTCCCTGTATGGTATGAGCGTCAAAAATATCATTTCTCGATATCCTGTCCGATATGAGGCAACGTTCACGGTAGGATTTTCTATGTACCTGATCTGTCTACCATCTCCCAAAATATCCAGTAAGGCTACCATTCATTAATTCACATTACCAAACAATTTTTCGTTTGCATATTAATTTTCAATTTCACAAATCAACCGTAAATTATGCAAGACAAGCAATATATATATCAAGAAAGTACAACTTAATTGTTTAACCATTTTAATATATCATCATGTATTTAAAACTGTAAATTCAACAATCAGTTGCATAGGATAACAAATAAATGACTAATAAATTCTGGTTCCATTAGTAACCTGTAATTATTCTTAAAAAATTTTAAATTACAAAAATACCATATTATCGATTATTAAGCTTCAATTCTATAACAGAGAATAAGGTGAGGGATTCTTACCCGAATTAGTATTTGAAATACTAAACTTTTTACTACGCCTACTGACGGTCCCTGGATTTTCTAAATTTTTCTGCGGAGATTAAAACACACTTCACATACCTAAAAATACTCCAAAAATCTAAAATCTGTGAAAAAAATCTTTTTTAAAAAATTTCGGGATTCCAGCACGGTGGCATCACTGTGCTCTGGCGACGGCATTACTGCCCGCGACGGCAGTTTGCCTCGGCTTTACCATTTTCGGTGAGTTTTGACCGATTTTGGATGGTTTTATACTCATCTATGCAAGAAAATACGTTAGGAGATCTCGGTTGGCCGAAAAAAGTCAAAAAACGGAAACCTACTAGTGGCAAAATTTTTCGATACGGTAGCTTCTCTGGCTCACCTTCGCAGCTGGACGTTTTTCTTCAGTCAACCTATAAAAAACATAACGGTGAATACAACAGTGAAAAAATCACATGAAGCAAAAAACAGGAAGAAACTCATTAGAGACAGTTGCGAGTTTTGTTTATGGTGGCACCGCCAGGCTTTGCCCGCAGTTTTCAGCTCACCAACCATTTTTTTGCTCCGATTTGGCCATGGGGGTGCTCTGAATCAAATTCTGAACGGATAGGAGAATTTTTACCTTTTTTGGCTGTCAAATGTGGTTCCGGTACGATGGCGGGCAGCGGTCGGCTCCCTTCTCCGGTAACTAATTCTTCTTCTCCAGCAGGAGGCTAGCAGTTAGGGTTTGGGTTTACTATGATGCGAGATATTTATACCCTTCTCGCGTTAATCTGGATCGTTCATCGCGTTTGATTTCAACTGTCCGATTGCATTTAAAGAGAAAATAAATCTAAACTGTTCATTACAATTTGATCTCAATTGTCCGATCATGTTTAAAGAGAGAATGAATATGAACCATTCATCGCATTTGAATCCGATTGTCCGATCGCGCCTGATGAGAAAACGGATCCGGACAGTCCACGTGCGCGGGAACGCTTCCAGACCGTCCGATCGCGAGGCACGCAGATAGCCAATGTGGCCTCCCGTGTGGTACCGAGTCAACATGGCTTGTCATGCGACGCGTTTCGGTTCGTCGAAGCTGCTGACTGGGCAGTTCTACGTGGTGCAATTTTTCTTAATTGTGTTCTGACCCCCAGTTTCTGATTTTTCTTTTAAAAATATCATCCGAACCCAAATTTTCATCTCTTTTTTTTCAAAATTGTATTCAATTTCATACTCAACTTATTTTTTTCATAATTACATATTAAATTAAAATTTATTAATTTTAAAAATAAGTTTTTATACTTTTTTATATTAAAATTAATCTCTAACCAAATTTCAAGTCCGAGTGTTACATAATTTTTTAATAAAAATAAATAATTAAAGAAAAAAAAACAAACAAATGATGAACACGTTGCAAGAATATTATACTTAATGCAAGCAAAAATGCATAAAGTTGCATCATTAGTATTATACTTAATTATATTGAATCATCAGCATATTTTTACCAATATTATAATTTATATATACATATATAATAATAACAAGCTCATATACATTAGGCACAAACAGTTACTAGCTATACACAAACACAACATATATATATATATATATATATGCATGGATGTTGAATTTAATAACCATCTTAGTTACGCACAACATTTTCATATTATGGCTCTTTACCCATTACAGTCTGTATTACCTGTAACACAATCACCTTATAGAATTCACTTTGTACCTCTATCTACATCTTTGTTCATTAGTCAGGGTAAAATTTCTCGTCCAGTTCATTCCACCATTATCAATTCCACTGAAATTTCCAACTCCCAACCACCAAATTCTTTTAGAAGATCTGCAAATTATCAGTCATGCATTTGGAATGACGATTACATTCAGTCATTGAGAAACGATTATAAGGTAATTAACCATATATGTTTAAATATTTAATTTATTAATTTTCAATAGAAAATGTAAGTATTAATTGTCTTTTTTTTTTTTTTTTTGTGTTTACGTGTGTAGGGAGATTTTCATAATGCGCGAGCTCATAAGCTAATACAAGAAGTTAGCATGATGTTAAAGGAAATGGTAGACGTTGGAGAGAAGTTAGATCTTATCGACTCCTTGCAAAGACTTGGAATATCTTATCATTTTGACAATGAAATAAGCACAATTATGAAGTGTGTAAGTAAAAATTATTATAAAAATGGGACACCGATAAGAAAGGACTTATATAGTGCAGCACTTGAATTTAGACTTCTACGACAACATGGGTATTATGTATCGCAAGGTAAAAGTATGATAAATTAATAGTTTTAATGATTTATATATTCATTTTTTTTCAAGTAAATAATTTTTACATATAAGCTTAATTGTTAATTGTAGAGGTGTTTAAAAATTTTATGGAAGAAGGAAACTTCAAGTCGTGCCTAGGTGAGGACACATGGGGAATGTTAAGCTTGTACGAAGCTTCATACCTACTAATTCAGAATGAAGCAATCTTAGATGAGGCTCAAAATTTCACAATCGAACATCTTAAAAAATATATAAAAAAAGAGAATGAAATTAATGAATATCTTAAAATGCTAGTGGAACATGCGCTGGAGCTTCCTTTACATTGGAGAATGCAAAGAGTTGAAGCTAGATGGTTCATTGATGCTTATAAGAAGAAATTGAACATGAACTCGATTGTACTCGAGCTTGCTAAACTAGATTTTAACATAGTGCAGGCTACGTACCAAGAAGAACTAAAGCATGGATCAAGGTGAGAATATAATTATTGTTTTTCAAAGGAAAACAACAATCTAACTTCATGATCCGAGAACTTATTTTGCTATCTATTAAAACACATCTAACTTTTTTTTTTGTTTTTTGCATTTATCATACTGAAAGATGGTGGACAAATATGAACTTCCACAAAAAATTACACTTTGCAAGGGATAGATTGATGGAGAATTTTCTTTGGACTGTTGGTATTATGTATGAGGCTCAAATTGGATACTACAGACAGATAACAACAAAGATTATCTCATTGATAACAATAGCTGATGATATGTATGACGTATACGGTACTTTAGATGAACTCAAACTCTTCACAAAAGTCATAAAAAGGTTAGGATTATTACCTTGTATTTTTATATTATATTTTTTTGTTCTATAGTTAAATTATTTGACTTGCTATTGTAGATGGGATATCAATGCAATTGGACAACTTTCGGAGTATACGAAGATATTTTTTGTGGCTTTATATAATACCATCAACGAAATAGCATTTAATGTCCTCAAAGAACAAGAAATTAATATTGTTCCACAATTAAAGCAATTGGTAAGTACCTGCAATTTGTATTTTTATATTTAATTTAATTGGCATGAAGAAGAATAAATGATTTTCTCGGCCAGAAAATATTAAATATTTAATTTCTCTGCAAATAAATTAATTGATGCTCAAAATAGTAATGAACCCTAAATTTCTTATCGTACTCAAGAAAATTTTTTGATATTTTTTTTAATACATAGAAACTTTTATAGATATGTTTCAGTTTGTCTTCTATCTTAGTAGATGCAAAGTTTGAATTTTCTAGTGGGCAGATTTCTGTGAATCAGAATTACTGGAAGCAAGATGGTACCACGAGCAGTACATACCATCTTTAGAAGAATATCTTGAAAATGCATGGGTGTCTATTTCTGGACCTGTTGTACTAATGCATATTCACATTCTCATGGAAGCAATTGCAAAGGGAGAATCACAATCCATAGTTCGCTATCCAAAAATTATTCGTTTGTCATCGATTATTTTTCGGCTTGTGGATGATCTGGCAACATCATCGGTAAACAATCCCTCTTACTCTACTTGAAAAAAAAATTTATTCTTGTTTAGAATTAAAAGATTAAGAAGAGCTCGTATTTGGAAAAAAAAAATCTATAAAAATTCTTGCAATTATATTATCATTTCAACTATATATAATTTCCATATTTAATTTCATTTATCAGACTATACTTTAAAATATTCCGTATTAAAATTTATTAGCTGTTTTTTTTTTAATAGTAAAGCATTACAGTAAAAATTGATTGTCACACACTTTTAGCATACCGAAATAAAAATTATTACCCGAAAGATTAATATACTTTCAGAATTTGATTAAATTAATTTAGCTAAATGGATGGTAGGAATATTATCGTTCTTAGTGCATCTTATATACCATCATAAATATTTTATCAACTTCAGTACTAGTTGGTTTTTTCTATCTAAACCCTTATACTAATTTTTAGTTTACTTGACCTTATCGAATTTCAGTAATAACTATTGTTTATGAGTTATTAACTTTTAAATATGTAGCTGATAATATATTAAAATCATTACACGTTAGTAATGACATATTACATGACGTCTCATTAACATTACAATAAAGACTTAAAATTAACACAAATACCCTTTCAACTCTTGTATTAATTGGCTCTTTCTATCTAAGTCATTGTACTAAATTTTTAGTCTATTTTAATCCTATACTTCTAAATTTTGAGTGTATCCACCCTCAACACTAATAATAAAGTATTAATTTCTGGGCATGTTTAAAGTTATGAACTTTTGGATACGTGACTAATGATGCATCAAAATCATGATATAAAAGTAATAAGTTACATGGTCTATCATCTATGTCATATTAAAAAACTTTAAAAGTCCATCTATACTCAAGAATCATCTTCTTGCCATCTATCCCTTCTTGCCCTAATTTCTGTAAACCTCGAATCCCGTATTTAAATGTCATATTCTCTTCATTTCCTTCTTTATTCTCATCATCAACCCTGAAATCAAAGAGGGAACAACATGGTCTCTTTGTCATCTCTTGCTTCATTACTAATCATGGTCCTCGAAATGAACAAAGAAGTTTGTGAAATCTTCACTTAGAGATTGAATAAGTAGAGAAAAGACAAATAATAAAATATGAAGTGATACTAAAAATTCATATAAGTTATAAATACTATTTTGATATTTGTGTTTTATTTACTTCTCGTTCTCTGAGTAAAGATTCTATGAACTTCTTTGTTTACTTTATGGACCATAATCAACAAGGAAAAAAGAGATGATGAGGAGATCTTATTGTTCCCTCTCTACTTTTGAGAACGAATGATGGGAATGAAGAAGAATGAGATGATAAAAAGAGACTTCAAATTTTGAATTTGGGAGTGTACAAAAATTAAGACACAAGAGGATAGATGGCAAAAAGATGATTTTAAGATACCCAAATGGAGATTTTAAATTTTTAATCTTATGTAAATGACAGGCCATGTGGCACGTCATCACTTACATATTATGAGTTTGACACAATCATCAGCAACATAATTAAAAGTTAATAACACTAAATGTATCCAAAAGTCGATACCTTATCAATAGTGCTAATGGTGGATTTGGTAAAAATTTGAAAGTATAAAATTAAAATAGATAAAAAAAAATTAGTACAAGAGCTTAAATTAAAAAAAAAATAACTACTATAGGAGTTCACATGATATTTCTTCTAAATTTTACATTTTTAATTTGACACAGATAACACATCATTATTTATATATCGTGATTTTGATATGACATTAGATACGATTTTAAAAATTAATAGCTCTAAACATATTCAAAAGTTAATACTTTATCATCATCGTTGATGATGAATTTGGTAAATATTTGAAAGTATAGTATTAAACTAAACTAAAAATTAGTACATGGGCTTAAATAGAAGAAACCAATTAATATAAGGGTTGATAGGGTAGATATACTAATTTTTAATTTTTAATCTAACATGGATGACATATCATTACTTAAGCATCTTGATTCTGATATGTTATTAGACACATGTTCAGAAGTTAATGGTCCTAAATATGTCAATAAGTTAATACTTTATTATTACTGCTAATAGTCAATTTGGTAAAAATTTAAAAGTATATAATTAAAATAAATCAAAAATTAGTTTAGAGGCTTATATAGAAAAAATAATAATAATTAATAAGGTTTAATAAAGTATTTTTGTTAATTTTTAAATTTTAATATGATGTGGATGTCATATGACACATTATTATTTATATAGTATAATTTTGATATATTATCAGCTACATATTCAAAAGTTAACAGTTTCTATACGACAGTTAGTGATTAGATAATTTCAGTAGAAGTTTGAAAATACAAAATTAAAATATATCAAAAATTAGTACATGACTTTAGATTTAAAAAAAATCTACTAGTATAGAAGCTGATAGGTTGTTTATGCTCTTTAATACTAGAAAAAAAATAAAACTACTTACAACATCTTACATAGGACATATTAAAAGCATAGTTTCATATACATGCTAGTTTCATATATTCTTACATATTTTAATGTTATGTAGTCAATTAATCTAAAAAGAAAACGTATATATACTATATACATACACACTAAAAACGTGTGTATATATATATATGTATATGCGCTATGTTCATATCCACTTATTCATTTTAATATCACTTGTTGAGTTGAGTTTTTAGGCTGAGCTAAAAAGGGGAGATGTTTCAAAATCAATTCAATGCTATATGCATGAAGCTAAAGTCTCGGAAGAAGATGCACGTGAACACATAAAATACTTGATAAAAGAAACATGGAAGATGATGAATGAAGAACGAATAACAAACAAGCTCATGTCGAAGAATCTTTTTGAAATTTCAATGAATATTGCTCGGATGGCGCAATGCATTTATCTGCATGGAGATGGATTTGGTGTTTCAGATGGGGAAACTAAAGATCATGTATTATCTTTAATTGTTCAACCTGTTCCTGATGTCTAGATGTTTACTTTTAATGTAATGTTTGGCTCACTTACAATGAGCATATTATGAAAATTTCTGAGTTTCCCGACTTGTCAATCATGCTAAGTAAGAACTACAACAGCACTCAGTTGATCTTAACGTGTTGATAATAAATTAGTTACCTTATCAATTCAATGATGTGGTAGAGTTGCACTGCTCCAACAGTAGAAAGTGTTGTCAATCATACTTCTGAATTTCATAATTTAACCACTTGAAACAAATATTATCTCGGAAGTAAATAGATAGAGAAGAAAAGTCTTTAAAGAGAAGGTTGGTAAATCAACCGGCATGAGATCAGTGGTTGGTGGTTTATGATTGCTTCCAAAATGGGTTTTCATTTCCATATTTTGTTAGAATAATTTCGATCTTTTTATTTTTTTTCTCTTTCTTGAGCATGTGTTTTGACTAATAAAAATTAAAGTACTCATTCTCAAATTTGCATGAAAAGTAGAGTCTTAGAACTTTAAAAGTTGAAAGTCTACGTTATTAAAAATCGTATTACAAAACCTACTATTTGGTCGACAATTTGGAGATGAAGATAAGAGAAAGCAACTAAATTTTGGGAGTCTTGTTACTAATCCTCTTGATTTTGTTGATATCTTCCCAGAGAAAGAAAAGCAATTGAAACACTTTCTTTAAGTTGCTTTCTTTGGGATGGTGTGAAAAGAAAGCAAGTCCTTCCCCAGGGAGAACTTAGTTTTGAAGTAAAAGCAAAAACAAACAATGAGACACACATATAGATCATCTTGCAGGTGTTTGGCAAATGTTGAAGTAGAGGGCGCTCAAGAGGGCAGCATTAATATCTGCAAGGAGATAATGCAGAAAATGCGGAACTTAGGAAGCATTGGCAGCAGCGGGAGACCATCAATGGAAGACAACTACGATGATGAAGAGATTCCGAGGCTTGCAATGTCCACATTTCAAGCTAAAGAAGAAGAGATTGAGAGGAAAAAGATGGAGGTTAAAGAGAAAGTTGAACTCCAGTTAGGCCGTGCTGAGGAAGAAACAAGGCGCTTAGCACAGATGTGGGAAGTTAGTCTATACTTCCTGTTACAAAACATCATTAGCATCTGAAAATCACTTTGTTTTAAACTTACGAAATGATGATGCAATTTATTAGGAGCTCGAAGTGCTCGGAGACCCTTTGAGGAAGGAAGTAGCAATGGTGCGTAAGAGAATCGATTTGGCCAATCGGGAGCTTAAGCCACTTGGACAAAGCTGCCAGAAAAAGGTAACATACCAGTCTAGCTTTACCATTTATTGCAACTTGCTAATACATTTCCTCATTGCATATTGGACGGTTGAGATTTTGATATCTGAATCTGACCCTGAAAAAGAGGAATGTATCAACAACCCTTCAAAGAATAACCATAACATGGTAACTGAATTTGAGAAGACCATACAAGGTATTGACAAGGCCAGCCGCTGCTCATGACAGGAAAAAGAATATAAAGATGCTTTGGAGGCTTTTAACGAAAAGAGCAAAGAGAAAACTCAGTTAGTTGCTACATTAATGGAGGTAAGTTGCTCTCAATCTCTAGCAAGACAAGGTAGCATATAGAAAACTCTGATCTAACTGATGGTCCAACCTTGTAAGCAGCTGCTGACTGAAAGTGAAAGAGTGAGAATGAAGAAACTGGAGGAGATCAGCAAAAACATTGAGTCCATGCAGTAAAATGTTTATTTCGAGTGATGCAGTAAAATATTATTTTATTATTTACACTCTGATAAGCCCTATTATTCTTATTTAAGAATTTTTATCATGATGAATTAATGTCAAATACAGAAAGCTTGTCTTGTCTTATCTTGACAGCAATACATGGCCAAACATCGTTATAGTTATCAGTGTCTTTCCTCCCCTAGTAATAATTTGTGTATAACTGGTATTTTCATGACGCTATGTGCCCCAATACTAAAGGTTCAAGTTGCTTAAATGACTTCAAGAGAGAACTTGGCAAGGCCTCATGCTGATTTCCTGGGTTTCTGAGACGAGATCTCCAACACTACCTTTAATCTGACGGAAGTTGTTTGTACTCTTTCAACAGCTTTGGGACATCATCCATTCGTAACTGAAAAGAAACCACCAACTCTTAAGAGTTAGAAAATATAAGGAAAACGACGAATAAGATTGCCAGATCAAAATGTTCATTATAAAAGGAGAAAAAAAGCAGGTGGCACCAAGACAAGGTTGGTTAAATCAACTTTAAATTAAAGATTAATATGTTCCCCTTGTCAAGACTTGCTCACAATCATCTTCAGTTTTAGCTTAACAGCTCATGCCCAATTCACCATAAGTAACATCTCAACATTACACGATATAATAAAAACAACAATAATAATAATAATTACTATAACTACTACTAGTAAGAAGACACGATAGTAGCCATATGTGCAGTTGCTACCACGTGCCTAGTGACAGAAGCAATTTAACAACTAAATAATTATTTTTATCTATTAGAAGAAAATAACTAAAGCCAAACAACTATAGCTTTAAAAAACAGTTCACAGTCTGAAAGTTGTCTTGTTAGGCAAAATCTACGTTTGTTGAGTTCTTTGCATATGAACTAAAAGCTCTGAACAAAGCTCTTACTCAATCAACTGCACATTTATATTACTTAACACCCAAAAATGGATCTCCCAAATTCTTTTCCTTCACTTCATAGAAATGGAGCACAAACCCAACTCACTTTCCAAATAAATTCTCAACTACTTTCAGAAAGTGAGTTTTTGTGGGCTCACATCAAGATTGTTTAACAGGAACATGAAATCTTCTTGGATTATGCGAAATGTACTTCAGAAATGACCAAAATTATTGAACAGAAATACCATGTTCTCTACCACAATAAGGAGCTATATGTCTCCAGCAATTATGAAATAGGTTTTCTCTCCATATTGTGGATTCAGAAACTAGACAAGAACCTGAGGTTGAATAAAAAATAAAAGCTAATTGAATTCGGGTCGACATCACGTGAATCAGAATGGAACCAATTCGTTCCAGCTATTCCCATGTAAGCCCTATTTTTATGGGGAAAGTAATAGACCCCATATTTTAACCACCACAATGTCTCTTCGCATATTTTGCATCCAGATACCTGCCTGATCGAGTAGAGTAATAAAGTAAAATGACCCAGGTGTAATCAAATTGTACTATATAAAATCTGTTTAACAAAGAATTCAGGAATCCATTTCTTTCTTTTTTTTTTTATGTTTGATAACAGAATGATAATTTTCCCAGAAGAAAATGAAATACTAAATCTTCATAGGTTAAGCACAACATAAACTAAGTAAAAAATTTAGTTTGTCTAGTACCCATTCACAACCTACCTGAGAAGCATTTTTGAGATGGTAAAACTTGTAAGCATCTTTTGCAAGAAAACTTGAGTCAACTGAGTGAAAACCAGATCCACCAACTGCTCTGTTATATTAACAAACATAACACAAGAAAGAAAAAGACTATTTACTTTTGAGAATAATCAAAGAACAATGGTAAAATGCACAGCACATATTATATCAACATTATTTGATGAACAAACAAATAGTTCTAGATAAATTTTAAAACATACAATCTGTATCCAGTTTCAAACTCTTTGTATTTCATGCTGACACATCAGAAAAAACCACATACAACTTCCAACATCTCAGATGCACTCAGTTGATGAGGATAAGCATTAATAGTGTCAATTGACTCTAAACAGATATTTCATAGTACAATCTCTAGAATCATCAAGAAAGTTGGGAAGAGGGAATCAAATGGATCTTTCTTAGGAATGATACACAATACTGACTTATTTCATGGATAAGCCCCCAAATTTTGAGGAAGTAGCCAGTAAAATGGTCTATGGAAATGAAAACTACCACTAAAGAATAATAACTATAGTTCTTACAGAAGTTGTTGAGTAATCAGCCTTTGGTAATCACGGAGCAAGGGTCCAAGCTCCCTAAGTGGTATTGACCTTGGTGCAGACCTCCTCCAATGGTCACGAAGTGCCAGAGTTGCCTTCTTTCCCTAAGAAAACATAATCGATCAACCAACATTACCAGTTACTATAACTGCAAGCTTTACCTGAATGTGTCAGACCTGTGCATTGCTGAGATGTCCCCCAATCAATTTCAACCCCAGTTCCATAAATTCTCTGTCTTCCAACTCATCCATAATCAGATGCCCAGGACCAGAGCCTGAAACTACAATTTCTAATCTTTTCTGTAATTCAGATATAGCTGAATCTTCCATTCTGCTTTCCTGTTGAATACATTGACGATGCTCAACGAGTGAGTACTAAACCTCCGTCCGATGTATAATCAAGGAAGAACTTGATGAACTTTAAATTCAAAACAGAGTTCGTTTGCCTAGCACCAGAGAAACCAATATATGGATCTTAAAGAATGCCACTAATGTATTTCTGATTTGTCTGACTAAGAGGTTGATTCACAACATAAACTTAAAGGTACAAGGGCCTTTCATCTGAATGCCAACCTTGCAACTTTTCAGGATCAGGAATCATGCATATTAGACATAAGGTTTAGAAGGCAGGGACCAATTTAGACATTTGCATCCAATAAATGTCTCAGCTTTAGGGTACCATACACCAAAAAATTTTGAGAATAATCTTGCAAGACCTTGTATCTCAAGCAATTGAAAAACTAAGGTACTAAGCAACTTGACAATGAGCTAAGTATACAAAAAGCAAAATATAATATTTAGATTCTACAGAGTCATCCTGATCCATACCTTGGTTTTAAATTGAACGTTATCAACTGCAATTCCAACATTACTAGTTTCAGGAAGATTTTGCTGAGAAGATGCAATAAACCTTTTCGCAATAGGATCATCTATAAAGCAAGATAAAATCATGAGTAAGAACTAGAACTAGTTCTTTTTAAATGGCTGAGCTATACAATGGAGGAAACACTTCATCATCCATTAAAGGACCGGCCCGCTCCCTCTACCCACCACTTAATCTGGTTTAGGTCTGATTTAGCTACAGATCCCCTATAGATGGCAAAAAAATAATAAAAGGACTTACTTTCAGACACAAATTATGACAATAAAGTAGAGATCTACGAATCATATAATACTACGAACCCTTTCAATCTCATTCGTTTCAGACATTCCTTTTCCTCCAACATTTCATACAAACAAAAGTTTTCTGTCCTGTTAATAAAAGAATGAATATTTTTTAGAAGAAAGAAAAATTACAAACAAGGATGAGAGGAAAATGGATCCTCTAATAGAGAAAGAGAAAACAGAAGATAGCATCCCCGACCTGGTGCTACATGGATAAAACACCTCTTCAAAAACCGTCAGCGTCAAACAAAGAGAACAGAGGAATACACAACATCCTAAATAACATGAACCGGCTGAGATCACTCCCTGAAAATCCTAGCATTCTCCTCCAACCAAAGGGCCCAATAAAACTGACCTCCGCCTCCCCCCCAAGGGAAAAAAAGAGAAAAAGAGAGAGGGAACCACAAACCCACAAGTATAGCCCCCTCTGAAGCATTAAAGTATCCTTACTCCATACACGACAGTGGGAAAAGAATAATAAAGGAATAAGTCTCCAATTCTAGAGGAGATACCCACAAGAAATTATACATTGATAACAACCTATTTCAACCCTCCAGCCACCACCATGATGAAAAAATAAGTTGCAAACATAATTACCTTA